CCCACACACACACACCCCAACACGCGCGTGACAAATACGGACTTTAAACGTCAAGTTTTATGGCATCCACACTGGCGAGGTGGATGCGCCCTGTGTGTGTATTCAAAGCGTGACATTTGCTGTCCTGCTGTTCTTGTCGGGGAGGGGTCTGTGGGTCAGGGTCGTCTGAGGAGAAAGCAGATGAAGGGAGTTGCGCACAGGAATTTTTATTTAAGATTTAATGTTTTTTTTTTTTACTTCAAAGCTCCTTCCGGCTAAGCAGCAGAAGCATAAATATTAGTACTTGACAAGGATGGGATATTGTTCAACAAAAGCAGCAGAGCTGAATGACCAGACCAAGACAACAATTAACAGGTAAGTGCAGTTTTATTTACAGGTGGAGTTCGGTTTTGGACATCAGCTAAAAAGGAGGAGAACGTAGAAGGTGAGTATTGGTTCTTAGAAGAGTAATTTGTTGTAGATATTTTCTTGTTAATATGTGATTCTTTCTTACAGATTTTCCAGAGGTGAAGAGTTCCAAAGGAGGAGGTTTTCAAAGGCAGGTGGCAGTTCTTCAGGCAGAGTGGCTGTGAGTGTTCTGTGGTGAGGTTCTTTGTTTTCTGACCCAACTTGGAGTGAGGACTTCTTAGCATGAGGTGTGGCTTCTGTGATCTGGTAATCCACCTTGGACAAAGGATGAACGAGGTAAATACAAAATATATTCTTTAACATAGAATCTAGGAGCTAAGATACTACCATGAAGGTTAGATGCATCAGCGTGGATCAACTGATGGAGGAGGCTTATAAAGCTGCAGCTGATCATCAGACAAATCCCCAACAGGTGTGAGTACTCAGGGTCAGATCACCAATCACCACGCAGGAACACAGGTAGAACTGATTCTTCACAGTACTGTTAAGAAAGCTGATGATAAAGTTGAATAAAAATCTAAGTTTTATTATGAAGTGAAATTAAATATCTGACAGTGATCATTACACAGCGTAGCTATAATTCTTCACTTCACCATCTGTGTCGCAGTTTCACGTCTCCAAAATGAGCATACACTTGGGTCAAAGCTGGCGTGAGGCACCGCACATTTTCACGTCAAGTTTGGATTTTATAAATCACRACCTTGGCGTGAAAAGTGGCGTACGCAAGTTTCTGGGCTCATATTGTGCGTACACAAGTTTATAAATCCGACCCCTGATCTCAACCCAGTTGAAAACCTGTGGTGGAAATTGAAAAAAATGGTCCACAAGAAGGCTCCGACCTGCAAAACTGATCTGGCAACTTCTATCAGAGTTGGCACCAAATTGATGAAGAATATTGTTTGTCACTCATCAAGTCCATGCCTCAGAGACTGCAAGCCTTAATAAAAGCCAAAGGTGGTGCAACTAAATACTAGTGATGTATTTTGAATGGGCTTTTGTTTATCTGTTTTTCGTGATTCCATACTTTTTTCCTCAGAATCGAGTGATTCCATATTTATTTTCCCTGTGCTTGGTCAATAAAAGTAACATTCACTGACTTCCACAATGTTTTCTCTTCATTTCTTTGAGTGTTCCTGAAAGCCAACAAGTTGCACTTTGGAATGACCTTATTATTGTTTCATGTTTTTGATCTGAGTCTGTTTTACAGAATGAAATGTCTGAATGAGTGCTCATCCAAGACTGGTGATTCCATACTTTTTGCCAGGGGTTGTAGATAAAGGACCCTCACAGATATTTCCAGGTGTAGCAGTTCATTGCGTGACTTTCAGAAGTTTGTGTTGAAGTTTGAAATAGTATTTATTCTTACAGGGAAAAACACGTTTGCACTAAATTTAGCTGCAGGTTAAGTTTCATATGTAGTCCTAAACTAGTAATACAACCATTTAACTCGTAGAGTTTAAATGTCCTTATTTAGTTGATAAAGGATGTAATTTCAGAGAAAGTCTGTCTAGTCCAGGGCTAATAGTTCCACCAGAGATTTCTCTGAACCTAACGGAGCCACAGTTTTCATTTTAAACGCACTGACAGGCCTACTAGCCAATGTGTCCCGACAAAACTTTGATTCAAACCCAGCAGATGTTGGAGCGCCGGTGCTCAAAAAAAGTAAATTTTTGCTAGAACAAGTTTGAAAAGACACTGTCAAAGCAGGCAGATTTTTAAAAAGTTATTGAACAAGCAGGAGCATGTTAACTGATTCCGCCACGTGAGAGAGATGTTCCATGCAGATGGATGCTACAGTTAGGAGAGTTGAGTCTGATGACTTATACCCCTAATTTTACATAACATGCGTTACGGCTCTGCTCCGCTGCGGTGCGCAGGTCGCAGCTGTGCATTTCAAGTCCACTTTACACTACCTCCTCTCCGCTCCGGTCCGACAGACGTGCAGGAAGGAGATTGCGCAATAAATTCAGTGATAAGTGTGGAAGTCACAGCAAAAAATAATTAACTCTGTGAAAGATGAACTCCAAACACAGCTGAAAACATTGATATAAAGGCTTTTGGTATCTATGTTGAAACTATCATGCTGTCGTCTTTCTGAAACTTCTGATTTCAAAATAAAATCCACGAGTATTTTGTGTGTACACAAATGCTTCATGCTACATGTTTCCATCTTCTTCCCAAACAGAACGATACATTCTGACAGCATTTGTGTAGAAATATATCCGTATTTTTATTAATATAGCTGCAATTTTGACATTATTCTGACAAATTCTTCCGCCTAAAAGTGTCTTATTTTGAAAATACGGATGTTGTGCTCGTTTTTTTTTCCTGTTGGTGCGACATAATCTTTAAAAATTGACTGCGGCGCTGCTCCTATGTCCGGCAAAAAATAGGATCTGTTCTAATTTTGACGGATCGCCGTC